AATAAAAACCTGGAACTGATTATAATGATTTACTATGATCAGTTACAGGTTTTCATTCTCACGCACTCATATATATAAACACTTCAAAACTATTATTATTGTATATGATTCTTACATTTCTTAGTCGTGCAATAATTTTGCCACGAACATTCACTGATGATAAAGTAACCATGGTGTTCGCGACTATTTCTGCCTGAGTTGTTCCAATACCAACTTTAACAGCATATTCTACAAATGTATCAATTATTAAATTTGTAATTTCATCAACTCCTTTCAACGTGTGCCATATATTAGATTGAACTGCAGTGTACATCTGTATAAATAAAAGATTATGAAGTAAATCAATATCATCTTTACATTAATTAAGCATAAATGATAAACTTAATATCTAGCAAAACTTTTATACCTCTGTTTCTCGAACAGTTAAATCAATTAATTTGTGCAAGATCATTTTCGTATCGGCAACACTATTCTGGGTCTCAGATCCATTTTTACCATAAAATGCTAAATTCAAAAGCCAAGGTGCCATATATTGAAGGCACAAATGTTTTTGAGATGGATTTGATTTACTAAACCCAACGAATACTTCCGTAAGAAATTCCAAAGTTAGATGTGTTTCTGTTACCGCAAGCCTTTCGCTTAATTGTTGAACAAATGTAGTATTATTTGCCGGTATGCATAATCCTATATACAATAACGTTATAGCAATTAAAAATGACACCATTACGGTATTTAAAAACTAGAAATCGTGCTAAATTTAAAATATATGTACCTTTAGCACTGAGCAATTGGTTACCAACATCAAAATTGAAGTTGAGGCTTAAAGCCACCAACAGATCGTATGCTGCCAGTCTCAAATTTGGATCATCACTTCCTATATTTCGGGATGGCAAAAAAACAGTTTAACCCATTTTTTTCACCGGTTTAAAACGTGTGATGATTAAAGTCCGAATAGTTAAATCTGGATTTAAGCATATACAGATCATATAATCATCACCTGTTTTAATTTTGTAATAAAAAAACTTTTGCCGCACCAACCTATATTTAATAACGCCATATTTAACAGAGTGCCTGGAACACCATTTGGTCTAAGCACACTTTCGGTAACCGCAGTTGGTTTAACAATTTGGTATCTTGCCTATTACAAATTACGACAAAAACTTTAAACTCTGAAGATAAGAATCAACAAAAAATCGACTTAATACAAACCTTTGAAGTTCTAATAGCCTGCATGATAAGATCTTTTCCCGGACTAGTGAACGCAATTGATGGTCTACCACGGTCCTGCTTAATAATAAACTCGCCTTCATTATTTTTACGTGATGAATTATTCACGTCTTCGATTTCTGAAATTTGATAAACGTCATTAAGAGTTGAACTTAGCCCATTAAATAGTTCTTGACGCCGTAGCTATGTTTATCAACAATAATAATAATAATTAATTTAACTTAAATATAAATAAAAATGTTAATTGAAATGTTAATTGAATGACATTTACCGTCAAAACTTGAACATGTTCATTGCTAATCTTCATAGTTACAGGAACTTGTGATCTGTAATGAGATACCCTATTAACATTCGAATAGGTAACACTAGAATCCGTGTCAAGTTGAGCTATAAAAGATATTAAATTCATTATTCATTTATCAATACACTTTAGATTAAAAAAAAACATATATTAATAATAAAACATTATATACTTGTTGTTCTTGGTAGTCTCATTTCATTATGAGCGATATATTGTGAAAGTTCATTTAATGAGCAACAAAAATGTACTTTTTTTACGAGATTAGGAGTTAATGGTTTTGCCAACTTTTTCGCAAACTTTTTGAATGCACTGTTGGGATTATATAAATATATAGCCGATAGATTTTCGATGGCATCAAGTGGAAATACTTGTACAAATTGTTGAACCCATTGAGCTTGGATTTCATTAGATGGACCAAACTTGGTTAGGTCTATTAAAACATCAAATGGCCTGATCATGTGTGATTCGATGGTCTAATTAAATTTGAATTTGAATGTGAATTTTATTATATTGTACCCAATGCAAGCATTAAATTTTAACGCATAATATAAGGATTAACTTACGTGAAGCACATGATACATCAGCAAATCAATGTCTGTAGCTTCAGCATCAAGACGTCTAGCAATATAATAAAACACAGGGCGTCGTTGCTATATTATAACAATAATATTAATTCATATTATTCAACCATAGACGTCATATAATCTGTGCAAAAGAAAATGAGTATTAAAAATTTAAAATATATATACAATAACTTACCAGAGACAGTCCACCTTCATAAAATATATTCTTGTTGATAATCGATTCTGTACTTTTATTCGCATTCTTTTTCATAAATTCGAGGAATAAATGATTATTCGGTGCAAATGATTGAACGCTAACATTAAAGAATTCTTTTTTTTGAGTTTCCATTGGGGGTCCTAATTGTGCTAGCAATGTTGCTATTCGATCCAACGTTGCTTTATTTGCTTGTGCAGCTGCCTGAGCTAATTC